GTTTAGGAGAAATAGCTTCATTTTGCATTCATGAACCTTGTGGAAAACGTGAAATAAAAATGCAGGACAGGCCTATGCAATTTCCCTTTATATGTTACTGTGTCTCCCATTCCCCACTTCCTTACCTCCCCGTCCCTGCTGCTGTTTGCTTTGGTGAACACAATAACACCAATTGCACAATGTCTTTCTGTGTCAAGAGCAAACAAAAGATTCTGGTAACCTTGTCAGTTCAGATAATCTTCAAAGAAATTTTTTCTATTTCTGCCAGCCTACTATCCTGCACATTTAGATCATTATCACCATTTAGACTGTCATAGATTGTAAATCTTGTCACTGAATTGAAAGTAGATTTTAATGGATTTACAGACTTAAGCTTAATTACATTCTTCACTATCTTCATGACTCTCTCTATAGCTCGGGTGCTACTGAGAAAATAATTCTTGTGACCTGTGGCACAAGAACACAACTTCTCAAGCATGTTGTGGAAAGCTCTAAGCAACACCTTTCCCCTGTGTATCTGCTCTGCATTGACACAGGGAGCCGAAGGTACGCCTGCATCTGCCTGTTCCCCTTGCTTGTTCTGCTCCCACAGATCTTACTCCTCCCTTCTGCACAGTCACTACCAAACTGACAGACAAGGGAGGACTGGTGTCACTGGGACCAGTGTGCACATCAGGGCATGCCTGGGTCAGCTCTACTGCACACCACACTTCCCTTGGAAATGTAATTTTAGCACAAAGTGTGGCATGTGTTGCCAGAGATGAAAAGGACCGGCTATTCAGGCATGGAGGTGGGGAATGTTTGCACCCCCTTTTCAAGCAGTTTTAGTATTGCTCAACTGAGGCTCACGAATTCCACAAAACTACCTCCCTGTGTCATCTGCCTCCTAGGCTGTTGCAGACAGGATAAGCCACATTCCTCAATGATTAAAATCAGAAGATCCAGATAATCTCAACTACAACCATTATCAAAATGCACTACTCAGTGCCAAATGCTTCTTTTGCTTGATTCTAGTTCTGTAATCATTTTGTATCTGTTAGTCTCATTGAAAATTAAGAACTAAATTGGACCTTAAATATGGAATGTTTAAAAACCACCTAACTAAAGTTTGCAATGGCACTTTTTCTGAGCATATATTCATACAACGTGGTTGTGTCTGAAGCTTTAGACAAACACAGCCACCTGTAAACTTCTATTAAGAAAAACGTGTATTTTCAGTCACTTGGGAATTCTTAAAAAATCTTGTCTGTGCTCTGAGCACTGACACAGTCATTCTAAATTACATTTTCCATTGTATGGCAATTCAAAAATACCTGTAGTAACCACAATCTTCTCTGAAGCTATTTTAATACTGGTCAGAAAAATTATTATTATTTTGGATAGAAGACTAAGATTCAGAATATAACTAAAGTACAGCAGCTTTCCTTTCATGATATACAAATCTAAGCCTTGTTTACCAGGACTGTGGTATACAGATAAATTACCAATTTTAATCACCACTCATATAAAAAAAATCAGGCACTGTCAGAATATTGAATCTCATAATCTCACCTTTTGGAACATTCTACAGATCTGCACTAAATGGAGGACTCTGCTTCTGCCTAAATTACTGTGGCCAAAGCCAAGATTTTGAAATCTGACCAAATCTATGATGAAATTCTGGAGTTTCATGGGTTGGTGACACATGCTCAAAATGATTTCTGTAGGAATTTTTTTCTTTGCCATGGATGATGGTCAGTGGTGCAGTGGAAAGATCAGCTTATCCCGGTTGCATGTGACCCATCTGGAAATTAACTGAGGTAAAAATGAGAAAATGTTACACTACTTAAATTCAAAGTCACTACTTAAATTCTCAGCTAACAGAGTTGTTCATACATATGTGGCCTATTTGGTTTATATTTCTTCAGGTTGTCATTGGATTGAGGAAGACAAAAAAGCAAACAAGCAATACCCTTGAAATCTCCACATTTATTTGAGGGTAAAAATATGAGCATTTCTTTCCTCAGACCCTTGAATCCTCTAAATTACTCTTACTTGATTTGCAAAAGAACTACACGTTGTTCTTATTTAAAATATAGCAAAAACTTCTGAAAGGTAAGATTTTTCCATTCTCACTTTTAATGGTGCCTCCCCCAAACTTTCAGACATCTGTGTGCCCAAGCACACTCCTATTATCTTTTTCTTGAGGAACTCAAAAAACTGACCAAAGTACCTGAGCTTCCCAACCCTGTATTATCTTCAGAGGGCGTCTGAAGAGCAGGGACCTCTCTCCTCTCATAGGCAGGGCCTAAAAAGACCTGATTTAATTGGTTAAATTTTGAGTCTGCAGTTTCATGTTATGAATATCCCATTATTGTTTTAAACCACTTTACCTTATTTCTCATATTGAAGCTGCTGAAAATCCACAAAATTGCATTGAAAATACAAAGCTGATATTTTACTTCAAAAATTTTTCTTGAAAGAAAAAAGAACAAACCAACCCAAAAATGGAACATTCTGACAGAGAGGTCTCAATAAAGTCTCCCAGTGAAATTGAATTGAACCCCCACCATTTAACAATTCCTAGATCTGAATGATGTGTGTCTATCTCCTGCTGCCTGTGCTGCTGCTCTGGCCACCTGCAAACCTCTACAGTCAAACACCCTTTAAAGATCTGGGGCACCTCCCCTATTCTTCCTCAATGTGGAAAACCATCCAACATGAGAAGAATTAACAATCAGGAAATGGTACTTCAGCAAGAGTCACTTTTACCTACATAAGGATTAATATACCCCAAAATGAAAAGCGGTGGATGGGGTTCCACAAAGCTCTGCCCACAATTACTTGTGGTCAAAACCAAGTCTCTACAGCAATTTCCAGTTGCAGTCTTTAAACACATGGCATTACTTTTCCAGACACAGCATCCCAATACTCTCGCAAAATGCACTGGCTGTGAGGGACAAATAATACTGAAACTCTTACTGCCAGATTCAGCATTAACTGCTCCCTGGCAGGAGTTTATAAACTCAAAACTGCAGCTTTCTTCCAGGTGAGCCTGGGGTGTTTTACATCTGGATTTCAGCAGGCAGCATATGCACTTCAGGTTCAGGAACACTTGTGCAAAAAAGGGTTTCTCCCATTCCAGTGTGGCATGAGCCCTGTAGTGCCTCTGGGGGCCACTTCTCCCTGCTGCTGTTGGGGGAGTCCGTGTCCTGCAGCTGGATGGTCACCTCGCCTCCAACACCACCACCGGGGTAATTGCTTCTGTCTAGATTTCAAGCCAGTTAATTAATATTCTTTACAGGAATCTTGTTTTTGCTACCAGGCACAGTTCATAGCATCTCTTGTTAGAGACAAAATATTTAGGATTGAATCAGGACTTATATTGATTAGATCAAATTTAACTTTGCTTTACATCCAAAAGCCCTGCATGCAACTGGCTGTTAAATTTGGAAATACAACTGTTAGCCTTTAGTATTCTTACGACAAATTTCAAATTAATAAGCTGAGCATTTAAAAGCTGAACTGTCAAGTCACAGTTGAATCTGACTATGGCAATGGAGATGGCAAATTCTGGATTATGAATAAAGGGGGTTGCAAGATCAGGAAGTTCACCAAGACATAAACCACATGTTTCTTTCTTTAATTTAAGCCCCTAAAATAGGAGATGCCTGTGGTAGAGTGGAAATGAAAATTCACCAGACACAATCAGATAAAAAAGGATGAATTAAAGACAGCTCCACAGTTTGCAGGCATGAAATCCTTAAGATTGTCCAAGATGTTTGGTAGGAGTATGGGTTGATTGTTAAGTTTTCTCTCTTTTCCTTCTCCCCACAAACAGTATTCACAAATCCATGAGAATGTAGGATTAACATTTAAGTAGATAAATTATATGTTGCATATTTAAGCCTAAAGAAAAACAAGTATGCAGTGACAGAGTCCTCATTTTATAATCATGTATTTTTATCATGCACCTCTGACCAGCTATGCCACCTCAAACCATCTCCCAAAAGACTAGCCCCATTCTTAAACATCATTAATTATTTTATTACTTCTTGCAACTTAATACAAACTAAGCAATTAAAATCAAATCCTACAGGAAGAAATCAGCTTTTCAAAACAACCTGATAAAGGAATATGAAGGCAAAATCTTAATATTGTCTTAAAGTGAATTAAATGACTGATACATTCTATAGTTTTATAAATAACTTATCCAAAGCTGACACTTATTGTATGATTTGCATTTCTAACAGTGCTTCATATTAGACGTTGATATACCTGAATCCCACTAGTTCTGATGTAATAGGGATATGTGCATTACTGCAAGTCTGAAGTCCATATTTCTCTTTCCACTGGCTGTTCATTCTCTCACAATCAGAGTGCTGAATACAGCCAAATCTTGCTCATGCACCTGCAAATGAGCCAGATGTCCACTTCATTGTGAATCCCTGAATTTTCACTGGGAACGAAATAATAATTCTCTGAGAAAGTAAAAGTACCTTTTAGCTGCTAATTTAATACAGATTATTCTTTTTCATCTGATCATTACTGTCAAGAACTTTAGCCTTCCCTTGTAGCAAGGTCAGGGCATCAGGTCACTTAGAAGAGCATTAATAAGCAAGCACTGGGTCCTCACAAGTTTTCCTCATATGCTCCGTCAAGTCACACCATACTTGACTAAAATGAAAAAAACCTTTGCCTCTGAGTATAACGTGAAAAGAAACCCTGGGCAGCTACTAACATGTACCAATAGCACAGCTGACTTCAGAGCTGTGTATTTAATCTGTCAATCAGACTTGGCTAACTTTCTTGCTGCAGGAAGACTTCATAGATTTTTTTTCAGAGCAGGGTAAGCTCTGCCCTCCATGGCCATCGTGGTCTCTCTGTAACTAAAATTCAGTTATTTAGGAAATCATGGCTTCATGCAGTGCACTAACAACCCCTCCTGATATACTGGGCTTTGAATCAGGCCCTTACGGAACCACAAATGTTCATATGGTCTAAGCAATGAGAGGGGAGTATTAAAGCAGTTCTACAGCAGTTTATTAAAAAAAAGAAAGGTGGTTTCAATACAAAAGTAGTTCCATGGTATTCAAACATCCCTATTGTGACAACAAGTTGGAGGTTAAAAAACTGAAGAGTCCCTGCCAGGGACAACAAGACAGGCAAAATAAAATGTAGATGTCAAACAGTTCAAACAGCTTCATCCAAAACAGAGAGGCTTGAGAGACAAAGATTGAAGAGAAAGGTTTCATTTGTCTTTGTAGCACTCAAATCTACCACCACGGATGTTGGACAGGCCATCTCTCTTTTTCTGGTGGTGGGGGAGAAGCAGTGACAATTTCCTCCCCATTTTCAGAGAATCCCAGCCTGCAAATAAAAAAGGAAGTGCAAATCACATGGCTTTCACAGCAATGATGGTAAGAATGTCTGTAAACTGAATGCTTGAAGAAAGGTGCTCAGCAAAGTACTCTGCTGACATAGGGGTAAAGGACTTGGCATCAGTGCTGAATTCCCAGCCACTTTTTTTTTTTCTCAGTCCTAGCCCTAAAGGTCAGAGTGAGCAGCCACCAATTCCTGTATACCACAAAGAATTAGCAGATTAATCAAAAACAAAAAATGTATTATCAATACATAACCTCTGGTAAAAAAAATGCACTAGCATAGAGAATGCATAAACCAAAAGGGTAGGAGGAGAAGTTTCTGTAGCTAAACTGACCTGGAGGTGCTGAAGAAATTAACCTCAGATGTTTTGTTACCTGGACAAAAACAGAATAGGTCCCACAGAGCGTTCGCTTCAACTCGGCAGCCACTTTGAGAAAACAGATGATCAGCTGCAGCCCACTGAGAGCTATGAGAATGGAGAGTAAAATGACATTCCACTCCACTATGTTAGCAGGTTCTGTGCATCGAGACCAGGCAGGGTAATCTGTGAGGTACCTGTTAGAGAAACACCAGTGTGAAGTAAGAAAAATGTGTCTGACTATTTTTTTGATGAACAATTTCTTGCAGAAGAGTTACACTGATGTTCCTTACCCCCCAGCAGTGTCTTTGAAAATATAATCCCATCCACTTGAAGAATTACAGAAAGGGCCTTGAATCAAACCCAGGGTAAAAATGATGCAACTGTATCCTGAGAAAGCAACTCCAAGCAGGGCTAGCACAATTGAAATAAAACTCTGGAGTAAAGAGAGAGAAATATTACTCTGAGGGGCAGTGTCCACAGCAAACAGTCATTCAGTCTGCCTACTTCCTTGGGGCTGAATTTCACATTTGATTTTCTCAATATTCAAAATTCAAAAAGAAAAATAGCAGGTAAAGAATAGTAAAAGCACACACATGCAAAATAAAGATTAAGACATTGTTTAAGACAGTTCCATAATAAGTTACAATATTGTTTGGGTGGGTTTTTTTAAACTTGCAGTTTTGTAAAATTTTTCCCAAAATACAACAGGAAACCCAACCGTGTATTAAATAGTCTGCATTCCAGATAGCATATATTGAGTCATTAGTGGAAAAAATAACTTCCAAATAAGACAGGCAAAGGCATGAATCTATTTAGTTGGGGCACTTTATTGACATAGTCAGGCCTTTTACATTCTTATTTTATTTTACAAGGATTTAGGGGGAGTATGTGTCTAGTTTTCTTTCATCCTGCTTATGCATCAGAAGGAAGAAGCTACACTTTCTGTGACCTTGTAACCCAATTTAGAATCCTTCTCTTCGAAAGGAAGTGAAAACGAACAGTAGAGGGGGCAGAAGGATGTGCTGGAACCATGGGAGCAGGAAGGCACTCAAAACAAAAGCTAAGGAGATGCAGAGATATAAAACATAGACTCACTCTGTAGGTTTTGTTACAGCTCTCACTCTGGCAGCACCGATAGAATACGCTACACTCCAGTGTCATCAGAATTACTGCCAAAAGAAGGATCTGTAAGGGGACATCATAAGGTAATGAGATGAATGCAGATACTAAGCCAAAGACTCCTTTACCTATGGAAAGCAGGGACTGCATTTCTTGTGCTCTCTTGAGATTTTAAAGCTGATCTGTGGGAGAGCACAATTACTCAAGGCACACATGGAACTGGAGTGGCTTTACTAGGCTGTCACTGTACTTGTGCTTGAAAGACAAGAGCACAGTGTCTCCCACCACAGTAAAGTGCTATGAGCTTGGGCACAGCTACACTAGTGAACCTGAAACAATGAAACCAAGGTCACAAGTAAGAGAATCAATACCAAGGAAAGGAAGGATGTTTTATTGATACAACCACATCAGTTCAACAGCTTCTTGCTGACACAGGTACACGGATCAGGGTATTGCCTTCCTTACCAACACAGTCACGCTAGAAAAAGTCAGTAGTGCAAGCTGCTAATTAAATTCACCTGGACTTTCATTTGTTTTCTCTTTCAAGTACCTATACTGATTTTCTCAGATTACTGCATTATTTCAGCTTGATCCTAGAATCATTTTGATAAATAGGATCTAGACTCCAGAACCACAAACTGCCACTCAGAGAGGCACTAGTTTGAAAGGGGAAATATGAGAAGGGAATGTTTCCGAATCATAGCATTATCCTCTTGCATGCTGCTGACCTGTTGGTAACACAATGACATATACATTTTTAATAAATTGGTAATAATCCTAAGGCTAAAAATGCTTCAAAATATCAATATCACTGTTGCAGTTAACTTTTTCCCAAATTTGCAACTGTTTTTCTGTTTGAATCCTCTGTCTGATAGGTTTTTTTCCTCTGCTAGAAAAGATAAGATTTTTCTTCTGCTTTATGGAGAATACACAATTTCAAAAGAAGTAACTCTCTCTTCAGCATCTTCATAAAAAAAACCTCACTTATGCAGATGAGCCCTTTTTAAGCACTGATTGTGTGTAATGCACTTTGATCACATAACTGCTTTCTATCCCTGAGTATACAGTTCTTTATGAACATAGGGATCAGCATGAACAGCGGGCAACTCCATGGTAGTTTATTACTGCAGGTGAACATACTACAAATGTAATGGGGAAAATCCTACTATGACAATCACAGTGAGACAATTCTCTGTATTCAATCTGACAACAGTGGCATCTGATGCATTGTGAACTGTATCCAGTCTTCTAAATACGGGACTACATACAGCTCTTAAAAACATCTGAACCATTACGAGAAGTTTTTGTTTCATTTTATTTTGGTAACAGAGCTCTAATTCAACCTTCCTAGAGGACTAAATCAACATAGTGTCTGCCTTCATAATACAAGCGTAAATTACGCATAAACAAAAAGACAGCAGAAAAAAACCCACCCTGCAAAATCACTCATGTTAAATAGTATACACATTAAATAGTATACACATTAAATAGTTTACCTAGCTTGTCATTCAGTATATTAACTTTTTTTTAAATCTGATTGAGTTTTTGCCTACGGTGATTTTGCCAAAGTAATCCATATATTCTTTAAAAGCACAATTGCATTGCTGAAGAGTAACCCAATATCATTTGCAGTAGAATGCAATTCACTAAAAACCCATAGAATGAGCACTTACCATGACACCTGAGAAACAGATCCCTTCAAAATACCACATGTAGCTGGGGAGCTGGTAACTGGCTGCATGCAGAGCTTTCCCATTCGGGAAGTACAGGAGGATGTTCACAACAATACTCCAAAGTGCAAGAGGTATCAGCAGGCAACTCAAACAGCTTCCACATGTCTCTAAAGCCATCTCTCAAGAACTTTGGAAATTTTGCTCTTCTAAGCTAACAAAAGATTACAAGATTTTAAATATAAAAAGTGTTTTGACCTCCCCAGCCTGTTTCAGTCATTTCATATTCACAGGAACCAGTGACTGGGGTGTGATTCCAGGGACAGAAGTGCTTAATAGTTAGCTGAACAACAGATGAATATCGCTATGTAAACTCGCTGTCCTGTCTAAGCACTTCTTTAAGTAGCCATTTCCCTTCTAAAAGATCCTCCTTTGTGATCTTCCAAATGAAATATATCTAGGAGTCAGACTCAGGAAGGAAATTCAGAGCTCTCATTTCCTAGTGACTGCTCAAAAATGCCCTCCTCCGCCCCAGAATACAAACTGTAACACAGACAGTTTGTGACAGAGGCACGTTGTTCAGCCTCAATGCAGCATGGGGAAGGGGGCTTCAGATGAGAAATATTCAGTCTCTGTATAGAAGGCCACACTTTGCCTCCCACGACAGATTTAGTAACAGAGCCCTAAGGGGAAACTTGTTGCTGACTTGGGACAGTCGCACAGAAACACCAGGCTGAGTCTGGGCCATCGTGCAGAGAGTACAGAAGCCCAAATAACACTGGTTAGAAACTGCCAGGCAGACTTACTGTCACACTTTTAATCAATTACTCTTTCGCACAGCATTACATGGCTCAACTGTTTTTCAAATCAAATCCTGCTGTTTCTCCAATTGTTTCATTCTGTGCTTACAGCTGAGCTTGCACAGCTACAGACCTAACCTACGTACACGTGACTTCTTGTGCAGGACAAAAGGTCTGGCTGTTTTTTCGAAATGCCTGCTGTTTGCACTGTGCAAAGCCAAAGTCACACAGCTTCCCCACTGTCACATGTCATCATTCCCTTACCCCTGAGCAACTAAACATCTACGCCAGTAACACAGAGCTGGAGTGGCCTGAACACAGCTTGACCCAAGCCTTCAGTCTACACCCCTGTGAGTCATCAGAAAAGTAACTCTAGAATGAGCTTAGGCTTTACTCAATAGGAAAGTTGTAGTCAGAGAACAAAAAAATGGGGCTCTATCAAATGCAGGAAGGTTGATTTTAGAAGCAATGATGTCACAATACATTTTCCTTCTGTTTCCTCATGAGCTGTTTCAGGCTCTGCACACATGAGGCTTCTCACATCATCTCATAAAAGCTCTTTGGATTGCATATTGTAACTAATACCATACTACTGCTTTGAATGAGATCACACAAGGAAATGGGCATGGTGGTACTCACACAATTACACTGTTTTTCTACCCTTCTCTGCTGTGACTTTCCTCTTTTTCTAAGAGGTTTCATTTTGATCTTCCCATATCTCCTGTTTTACTCTCTAATCACTATGGACACTTTTTTTCAGGTCTCCCTCTAATCAGTAGTAGTAGCAAACCTGCCTTTTCAGACTCACAGGCAAAGACAGGACCCCTCTCATCAACGCTGTGCCTTATATAGCAGAGAAAACAGCTGCATTAAAAGTACACACATCAAATCTTCATGACTGATCTTTTATTAAAAACTCAGAGATCATGTAACAGGCTGAAATATTTTTTCCTAAAAGCAGAGGCCAAAATTAATAGTAAGCAGCTTATTTTATAAAGAAATTTGCTGTTACTTCTATTATAAGCTGTTCTGATTAGAAGAAACTAACTTGGGAAACAATGCCTGAAGCAGCATTTGTTCTGCAGTACAGCAGTCCAGATCACAACTTAGTTTGTATTCAAACTTAGCTCTGCAAATACCAAATATTAGTGTGGTTATTTTGCTGGCACACAAAACACTAGAATAGGAAGCAACCATTCTATACTAAGAATTAAGCAAATCTGTAAGACAGTTTCTCAAATATCTTACCAAGTGTTGCAAGCACTGCTTTCCTGTTGCTGTCATTATCCATGAGTTGATGCCAAGACTGTTACCGAAAAGTCATGTTTACTCTGGATGAGTGACTTCTCTGCCAGCTGAAATGAATACAACCTAAACCAACTGCTTCTCCACAATATAGTTGATAAACCTCCCAAAACAGTGTGTTAGGCACCAGGCAACAAAAGAATCCAACTGTCCTTTTTTTACATAACAACATAAATAATGAGTAGCAGCGTTGTGCATTAGTGCTACATGGATCTGAGCTGAAGTTTTAAATCCTAATCTACCCTAGTCATTCCATCTATTGCAATTTCTAAAATTGTTTCAGTTCTTTAATTAACTGTGTGTATCAGAAAGACAAATAACCATTATGCAAGCATAAAGGCAAAAATCTCTGAGTTGCATGGCATTATACCTGGTTCCACTGGGGATCCTCTTCTCCGCTTCTCTCCTTCCACACCCATTTAAACTTGCAGATATTTTTTCAAACAGTGTTTCTTCACATACAAAGACACTATTGCACAGCTGCAAGGAATTTTGTCTGTATACACATGTGCATGCACATATTGTCCTTCCTTCCTCCCATAGCAGAGCAAGACAGGGATAAATACAACAAACAAATGTCATTAAAACTCTCAACTACTTCTATGTATTTAGGTATGAATAAATGCTATTGCAAAAATCATGTATCCTGAGATTCTAAACACAAACTCTTCCCATCTGTGAGTTCTTTTGCTGCTGTGGATGTGTGTGTACAATTTTGTTTTCACAGTTAATTTCTTTTTTTCAGATACTCATTTGTACAGGGCAGATTCGACTGTGTGGACAGCCTGAGATACCTCTCAAGTTTCTGGCTACCTTTAAAGACCATCCTCCTAGTTACAAATGGCCTAAGGATGCACTGACACCCATGGGAGCTTTTCTCCCATAAATAGAAATCAACTTGCCTCTTTTCAAAGACAACATTAACAGCTAAATACCAAAAGTGAGACTCATTTCTCTGAAGTAAATAGCACGTCACATTTTGGTTTTCAGTTGAAAATTGCCACTACCAGCTGCATACTGACCTTGTCAGCAATGCTGTTGGCAGCACGTTATTCAGATTTACTTGTGATAAAACATTCACTCTAATATGCTACAAGCTATATATACCTCAGAGGTTCTTGCACAGTAGCTTACAATGATGCCTCCAGGCTGCTTACCGGTGAAGTCAGGTATTTCAGATTAATCTGTTTCTGCTGACCTGAATTTGGACTGTATTCCCCCAACACTGTGAGGCCTGAGGGTCTACTGAGTGAGGTAAAAAACAAGAGTCAGGCCCACATTTTGTTTTGTGTCCTGTAATGCTCCTCTAATGGAGCAGTCAGAAGGTGATCCCCCTTGGGGGGAAAGAGAGGACTCATAGCTGCATTCAGCTGCACAGGGACCCTTTTGGGAACTGCCAGCCAGGACTAGGATTCCACATGTGCGGCTGTATCTGTCACAGAGCTGTTGCTGAACCCTTGTTGATTCAGCTAAATGATCCAAACCAAGCAGTGAAGCAGTTCCACTCTGGCAGAGCCTGTTGGAGAGGAAAAGCAGGTTATAACCTGACTGCATTATATCCACATTCTCATGCCACCACTGTCCTTTACTCCGAGACCAGGCAAGCAGTGTTTCAGCATGGGCAGGGAAGGAATCATTGACACCTGATGGGTATTTTTAATACAAATCTTTATTTGTGAAATACAGGGGAAGTTCAGAAAAATCCTGAAAAGGTGAAGTGCATGTATCTACCCAAACCCCAGTATTCATTTATATCCAGGCCAGACTAGATTTGGTTTGTGTTCATTCCAAGATCAGAATGAAAGAGCAACTTTATTGGGAAAGCGAGATAAAGTACAGAGCCATTGTGTCAGTATAAAGAAAAAAATAAATAAAGCCTCTTTAGTGATGCGTTCAGGCAACTGCCTGTACTAAGATCAAATGAACCAAAGAAATTCAGGATACATTTTGCCTTTAAGTACAGGCAGGTTAGTGACAAACCTGCATGTAACTCCAATAACAAAGGCTGGCCCCAAGTCAGTTAAATTGATGGCAACAGCACAGTTTGACAACAATGTGTATTTCAGTATGCATGGAATGTTTAAAAAAAATCCACAGAATACTCATTACATTATACACACACCCACCGACGTCAATGCATTGTCAGGTTTCTAGCAAACATATGTCTGCAGGGGGAACAAAAAGAAAGAAACATATTAACATATTAATGGAAAGAATGCTAATATTGTGTCCCAAATATAAATGAAAAAATTAACCTGACCAAATTTAGACAACCATAGCATGCCTCTTCTGTACTGCAGTTAGACCATGAAAGACAGGAGGAAGAAGACAGCAATAGCTTTGAAAAAGCCCCAACACTCAACTATATCAATTAAAAATGTGAAACACATTCTTACCTACAACGTGTGATACAAATGATATCTGGTTCATACCTTAAGCCAACACTACCACTATGATACTGATTTTAACAATATGCCCAAACTGTTTAACAAGGTTTTAAAGAAATTTGGAGGAAATTCCCTTTCCTCACTCAAAAAAATCCACCTTCAAAAACCCTTCAGACCTGTCTGCAGATTTTATTAGCTGTAAAATTTAATTCCTTCTCTTATCTTACTTTTACTAAGCAAGGCCAGGATGCTGCACTTTTCATTACATGCAGCATATTATCAGTAGTTTATGAGCTGCTCTGGGCAAAACACAAGGCTAATGCAATATAGTTAGAACAAGCATTACACTATGCTTTGGTTTAGGCAAAGACCACAACCACCAAGAGATCAGTGTCTCAGTTATATCACCTATATAGTGCTGATGATCACATGTGCCACTGGGCAGACAAAAGCCTTCCAGCTCCTTGCTCCCATGCAGACTAATGTCACTGTGAGAGCTGAAAAATCAGCTGAACGCACGTGGCCAAACACTACATGAAAATGCTAAACACAACTGGGCTATAAAATGTGTTGCACAGGGAACTTGTTGCTTATGAATATCTAAAAAGTAACTGCTGAGTAAGACTCCACAGTAGCATCAGTAATAATCCTGTTTCATGTTCATGCGAGCAGTGGGGTTATAACTACAACCAACTTACCTCCTCGTGACTGCACAACCCACACAGTCCTCCAAGAATGCCATTGATTATCTGTACGAAGCACAGAATGAACTCTATTCCTCCCAAGACAAGGAGGATGGAAAAGAGGGTGACATTCCACTGCACGATGTTTTGAGGTTCTTGACATTCAGACCACTTGTTATACTCAAACAAGTACCTGTACACAGCAATTAAAAGTGTATTAACACTGTGTCAGAGCGGATGCTTATCATACACTAGAACCAAATTATGCCTAGTCTGTAACTGCACCAGGGATATTCACTCCAAGTGGGAACAGAAAAATCAGTGTTTATTCCATGCAAAGTTTCACAGAATCACCAAATATGCTGAGTTGGAAGGGACCCACAAGGATCATCGAGTCCAACTCCTGGCCTTGCACAGGACCATCCCTAAGAGTCACACTATGTGCCTGACAGTATCGTCCAAACACTCCTTAAGCTCTGTCAGCCATTGTACCACTTCATGCTAACACAAAGCAACTTCAGAAGCAAGCCTGACAAAGCAGACTCTTACACAAATCATATGACAAATTTCATAACAACCACTATTCATAGGTTGAAAATCCCTCAAAGTCATAAAACTTTATACTTTGTTAGAGATGTTCAGGGACATGAACAGTATATGATATATAGATTTAATTACATATATATAATATATACATAGAGTATATAGTATATATATTATATACTATATATATAATTATATTTTTTTTCTATTGATTTGGTTTCATATTATAGCAGTGTGGGTAACTGATGCCATTTGTTTAGCTCTTAGTGAGCAAGAAGCATAAAATTATGAATGAATCTTGATATATGGTTACTGGTTATTGCTGAAAGGTACTGGAATAAAGCCCATGTGTACGTGGGGTAAGATATAACATCCTCAAGAACAGACAACTTACCCTCCAGAGGAATCAGTGAAAGGATAGATCCAGTTTCTCTGTAGGTGGGTAAAACAATATGGTCCTTGAGACAAGCCCAGTGCTGAAATGATTATACAGTATCCAGAGCCAAGGATCCCAACAAAAGCTGCCAGAACCGAGGACAGCATCTGCACAGCAGACAAACATGAACTTTCAGCACAGCCATCATCTTGTGTTTGGGACTAGCCGGGACTGGGGTGTACAGGCTCACTTACCACACAGCTCTTCCCACAGCCCCCATGGCCAAAGCAGCCACAGCAGTCCCCATTGTGCAGCCCAATGAACACTGCAGCTGGAATGAGTACCTGGGTATGGAGCAAACATAGCGTTCGTTCTGGTTGCACAGAGAGGGCAGATAAAACACAGTCCTCACACTGCATTCATTTATGTTACTTCTTGATGGTCAGCCTGTACAGGTGATTCAGCTTTACTCCTATTTAACACAGTAGTCGTCTTGCCAGGATACCCCAGGACAGGTGTATTTCTACTGCCACTTTGTTTATACACAGCACGTAAGTGCAGAAAGAGCCTATTGATGTATTGTTCCATTTAAAGTATTTCAGCTTTGAAAGCTTTTGTTCACATTTAAGGCTGTATCCTGCAAACAAAATGCTTTGCAAAAGAAGGCATTCACTTTCTGCTAAATGAGCCTACAAGATGTCTCAATTATTTATCTAAAAAACAGCTACTGCCAATATACTAGTTACTTAAGAGCAGTCATCACTGCTTGTGTGACAAACCAGTCTGACTGGTGTAGAAAGTCTAGCAATATTTTGCCCAATTCAGGCAAACATCTCATTACAGATATCTACCTTTCTCCAAGTTTTTGCAACCAGTTTCCAGTGACAGAAATGCAAAGTAACAGAGCAGAAGCTATCTGTAAGAAACATAAATTATCCATACTCCAGAGCTTTTAGCATAAAATTAAGGAGCAGAGCTGATTAAAAAGAGGATCCTCCCACCAGCACAAACAGCACTTTAATAGAGTCCACTTATAAAGAATCTACACCCAGGAGTACTCTGGAAAATCATACAGAAAGAGTAAAGAGTTACCTGCAAACTGCATAGACTTATTTAACAAGAAACTAAAATAAGAACTATCCAGTTGAACAGACACATACTTGTCAGCCCTTACTCAAACCTACTGCTGAGCCCCAGTGCTGCAGGTCCAGAAGAAAATGTACAAGTGTGTTGCAGGAGCAGTTCCACTGATTTCACTTGTATTATTCTCTGTGTGAAGCCCAGTCTTTGCAAATCTCAGTCTAGGTTCCAATGGGGCTGTAACAGTCTGTAAACTCCTCTCACTACATAGAGCACAATTGTTTGTGATTTGCAGATGCCTTAAGATCACAGAAGCACAGAATGTTAAGGGTTGAAAAGGACTTGTAGCCTCTTTCTGAGGCCTTTTAAAAGCAGATGAAAAAGGAAACCTGGAGTCAGGGGAGTTAAATATGCTACAATGTGGTCCACAAAACTGAAAAGGTAGAAAATAATAGCTTCACATTAACAATATCATATAATGAACATACTCGATTCTTCATCCTTTGCTGTTACTCAAATGCAAAGCTTTGACAACTGCTACTCGATTCCTCTGAATAGAATCATAAAATCAACCAGGTTGGAAAAGACCTCTGAAATCATCAAGTCCAACCCTTAAATCATCAAGTCCAATAAGTAGCTAAGGCAGAGAAATAACTGTCAACCTCTCAGATAACAGAAACTAAAGAATTGTAAGTAAATGCTAGTTAGTTAGGGAGATTTAAAAGGACAATGATTCAATAACAAAAAAAAAAAATATATCCCTTTATGCAAACTGTGACCTGAGAGGCTTGGCTTGCATTTGGATTCTGTGACCTAGACCCTATGATTTTTTTAGCTTTAAACTGACATAATCTTGCAGATAAGATAACCAACAGTAATTAATAACACCTCTAGGATAATATAGCTAATTTTTTTTATACAACTACAGAGTTTCCTGCTGATGAGATATGAATTATTTAATGCAATTGGTAAAAGAAGAGCCATACCAAATAGCTCCAAAATAAACTTGCAAAAAGCCACCAGGTCATTACTTACCAGAAAGCCTCCACCTAGAATGCCATGAAGGCACTCTACGTATTTGCCAAGGTGATGCTCTGAAGCAAATCTTGTTTCGCCATTGGGAAAATAAAGTAAAATGTTGGCCACGATGCAGAGCAGGGCAAGGATGAGCAACTTATAACCAACACATCTAGTACACCTTCCAAAACACATGTCCTCAGCTTTACAAATTCTCCTTAGGTTGGATCGGACTAGTCAATCTCATACCTGTCCACGCCTAAAAGAAGACCAGTGTTTATTCTCACCTCCTTAAATACCAGGGATTACCTTAGCTACCTGGATGACGTTTACAAGCCTTCCTAACCACCCTTCCCAATTGCAGAGCGAGGGAGCAGGGACGGCAGAACGCCACCGCCCTTTTTAAATGCAGTAATTGTTGATGAACCAAACGCAATCAAGGAAATATTGAATACTAGGTAATTTCACTCTAATATATGATGCTTGAAATGATCACTGGTGAACATGATTAGACGTGAACAACAGGCTTAAACCACAACACAAGTTCTGTTGAGAACTGAAGAAAAAAGGTTTTGTTTTCTTTGTTAGAAGAAGCTTTGAATTTTAGGTTTATAGACTGATTCAGAACAACATGAAGCCAGGGAAAGACTGAGCTGACATCAACAGTACTGAGTCAGAGTTTTGGGTATAAACAGAATAAGGTCTGCAGCAATGAGGAGTACGCAGAGCAATCTCTCACTGTGCTGTCCTTTTGATGGAACAACAGCAAACCTCACCAGGAGGTTAGAAAACAAATAAAATTAACAGGTAGGCTTCTAAGGAGTGTCCTTATTCTTGCCATTATAAGACAAGCTGAATTTAGATTAATAGCCATTTGGTAAGGAGCTTGGTAATAGCTGAACCACTGGTGAAAAATACTACTTTAAAAAAGCAGGATTATAAAAGACAGTCCTTGCACTGAAATATCATGTATAGAAACACACACACACAAAAGTACCAAGAGAGAAACAGATTGTATCAGGAGTTTCCAGAACTACATGTACCAGTAAGATCAACTCTCATAGTAAAGAGAGATACAAAGTGACCTATAAAAATTAAGATCTAGCCTTTTATCTTTTCCCTCATGCAGATTTTGCTAAAATAGCCCAAAGTTTTCTTCTTCACATATATGCAGCTCAACAGAGAGGTGTGAGCTGTCATGCCCACTCCCATCACACGACAAGAGGTAAAATGCACAGGCCCAGACTAGATCCAGGAGGTGCTGCTGCTGCTACTATCATCACAGTACAACATAATTCTCACTGCAAAAACAGAAGTAGACAAACTGAATTTGGGAATGTACAGGATATCAGAGAACTATAGTGAGATTTTTTCAAAAACACTCATTCAGGTTTGGTTTTGGGTTTTTTTGGGGGGGAAGGTGTTTAACAGCTAAATAACACAGCAAACACAAGCCCAAATCAAATCCACGGTATACTTGCAAGAGATGTGAGCAACACTTAAGCTGAGAGAGTGTACAAAAAGAAAAGGTGGGGGGAAGGGGTGGGGAGAGAGCAGCCTGGTGCAGCTGTGGGCCTGTGATGTTTGTGATGTAACTTCTCCGGGTATTGTAGCTGCTGACCTTGGAGACTTCCTTCATCATGAGAAATATCCTCCAATTGTAGAAACACAGGCTGGCCATTATTGTGCACTTCACCTCTGATGACTAAAACAAGCATAAACATTAACCTGCAAGTTTCCTCTGCAGAAGGAGATGGCTGCTCAACTGAAAAGTCCTTTTATTGTGTTACACCAAAAAAAACCAAACCACTCCTCCACAAAACACCCCACCCAATACCCTTCCTCCCGCCTCAACAACCACAGCATACAGATGGCCACAGGGACATAGGTTTAAAAACTGTTCTATTTATAACCTACTTAATGGTTTTCTAAACACTTGATTGAAATAAAATTTTACATAATCAAGAACTTCCTATATTTAAAATCAATTCTATATTTAAAATAAAGCATATGAGGCATTGCAGGCTGCAGTTAGAACCAACACCCCTCCAACAATATAATAGTAGTTCATATAGATTACAAAAATCTTGAGCTTTTTTACTTTGTAGGTCTGTTTGCTTCATAAATCCTAATTTTACTGCTTGGCAAGTTGAGCAGCAGTGGATTTTTGGAATGCATCGTGGGCATATTGAGTTTTAAACTACGAAATGTACTCACAGACAAGCAGTAGGCAAACCCAGGTTTCTGAACCTGAGAAAGAGCAGGGCCCAAGCGGCAGCCTGTGACATGCTCCAGCACCATCTGAGTTTACACTGGTGTAAACAAAACCAGAATTGGGTTTTGAGTGTTTTATACAAGAACCAGAGTTTGCACTTGGAGAGGTGAGATAATTGCGTACGCTCTCACATTTGCTTCCCCACGGCCCATGGGAAACTCCACTGTTTCTCTCTCACAGGACAATTTCTGTAGCTCTGATGCCTACCACAGACAAAGAACACGTATTAAAATCCAGTACCCACTGTTATTAAATCCAGTAGAAGTCTAGACTAAATCCTAAGTTTAGATCCTAGGTCCAGCCCTCAGCTCTGGCTTAGAAGTACCTACAGCAGTGTGGTACAGGAAGGACAAGATCATCAAAGGGGTAGTGAAGCAATTTTGATAGCACACTAAGGTCCAGCAGGTAGGACCATTGCCAAAGATTTCCCTATCCTCCCCTGGCAGGACAAGACAGTTCATAAACAATTACAGCAACTGGCTTGTGTCCCCAGGTCATCAACTCTGCAGGTTAAAGTCTGTCAGCAGAACAGTGCTGCATAGGGCAGGACACTAAACCTCCATGCATAGAAGTGGCTAAAATTAGATGCCTTGTCCAATTATTGAGGTATCTCATATCAAGGTTATTTTCACATGGAAGGATCCAGCAGCCCCTCTATAAAACAACCCCCCCACCTCAATAGTCCTTGTTGCTTTGGCTCTTCTGTTGCAGCAGGAAGACAGAAGTCTACTTCTTTCACAAAATGGAGATGTTCGAAAGAAACAAGTGTTTCCTGATGCCAAAAAGCAGAAGATCTCAAAAACAGTAGAAGAGCTCTCTACATTTAAGCTCTGAAAAGCTGAATATTCTCCAGCTTTCTGTATCAGCTCGTCAACCAGCCCAACAGAAATAACAGAAATTACTTTCTCCAGCTCAACAGTGTATTGGAAACACTTGCTATATTTTTGGACAAGTCCTAAGTTTACCTATTGTAAAGAGGAGCAGTTTATCAAAAAGCCCCTACCCAAACCCCACAAGACCACAGAATTTTATCAAGAAAAAGAAAACTGGGAAGTATCATATTTCTCCTACAAAAGTAAATTACAACGACATCTAGCACCTCCACCCTGAACCAGATTCCCAAAGGGATTTCATCATAATCAACAGAAGAAAGTGAGTTGCAACAGCAAAGAAAAGTGTCACACAAAAAAAGTTGATACCTGAACTCCATTAATATATTTTAGTGCCAACAGTAATCCTGGAAACACCTACATCCCTCCACTAAAGAGGAAATCAAGCAGGGCGGGAGGAAGGCTATCTGCAAAATAAGTATCCAGTTGGACAGACTGCCCCAGCCCCATGACACCAGACAGCATGCTGTCAGCAACAGGGTCAAGCAAACCAAGCTCAGTTTCCCCGGCTGGACACTGGGCTACTGCATTTGAACCTGCTGCACATTGATGCTGTAAGACTCCTGTGAGCTGAGGATGCCACAGAATCCTCTTTCCTCAGCCCTCTGCCACGTTGTCAGGACAGTCTGGCTGCTGTTCCCTTCATGGAAATTAGATTTCTATAGCTCAGCTATGCCGAGTCCCCAGCACTAAGCTTGTTAATCCTCCCCAACTCAATGATTCGTTGTTGGCTTTTTTCTTTTACTATTTTAGCACCGGAACAGGTTCTCATTCCTTATAATTAGACAAAGGATAAAACATCTGCATCAGTGTTTTCCAAGCAAATATAAGCAAGCTCCTGACCTAAAGATGCCAGAAAAATGAATTGAAAAACATAACATGCAACAATGATCCCAATAGTTTTCTTCTAACACTCCAAATGGTCAGTCCTACTGCTTTACACTGCCTTATAGACACCCCTGGGCACAGTTTGCTAAAAGACAGCAGTCAAGAGACACAGCTGAAACAGACACGTGACATGTCTTCCAACTGCCTTGAAAACAATGCAAAGAGAGAAACAAATAAGAAGCCTTGAAGCAAATACAATTTTTTTACATTATAAAACCTGATCGGATGTGAATCAAGGGGACTTCACTAACACCATTGCCATTTGGACACCCTATGCTACAGCTTCTACAAGAAAGGCTCAATATTTAACTTTTCTTGCAGAACTTCTGGTCCCACCCACCATCAGTAAAAGGTTAATGGAGGGAAATGCTTCTTGTGAAAGCACTGGCAGGGTGTGGTAACTGTCAGGCATCTGCAGATGAGACACAATCATAACACCAAGGGCTGCACTGATGCATTTGGAAAGACTGGGCAACACAACGTGTATTGACAGAGGTTATGAATTCTCACTTGTATTCTCTTGTAAGCCATTCTCATCTGTTCTTTTACTGTTTAGTAGGTGGCTGCTCACAGAGGCCAATACTAGCTCAGACAACTGCTGGGAAAGTACCGGGAATGTGTAGTCACCTATTGGCTAATTTAAGGGCAGGCTCATGGCCAGCTATGCAGGCAAAGCTTTGGTGACCTTAGAACAGCCCTGACTCCCTTTGACCTGTCCATTTCTCCATGTCCAAGTGATGCATCGCCCATGTTTTCCAGCCATCATCCACAACAACACTATGCTGTAGCTGTGACTGTCCTCTCCACCTCCCAAATGCACGTTGGTTGCCAAACTCAACCTGGACGGTCGTGAGAGGAAAGTGCTCCCCATGAAGTCCTTGGTGCCTGTGGTCTCCTGGCCACAGACAGAAGAAAGTTTCTAGATTACTTTTATTAATTACCTCACAGCTCCTCAGATGAACTAATGAGCTACTTAATGAGTACGAGCAACCACCTGTTGCCATGAGCACATGAGAGCAATTGTTCCTTACACGGGTGTAACGTGCGTGTGCTTGCTTGCTACCTCTGCCACCACGAGAGAGAAAACTGATCTGAGCCATAGAAGTCAGCTTGGAGTGACTGCCCACACTTCTATGCAACAACACACATTGACACATACAGAGAAGAATTAATTTATTAATAACAATGCTGACCTAAGAGGAGTCAGCAATGATGCAACAAAAGTAGTTTTGACATTTAACCAACCAGTTTGGAGACTCAAAAGCTTACAATCAGGGCAGAGCTACAACTAAATGAGTATATAGAAATTCCTCCCTCTAAAGAAGAACCCA